CTTCGGCCGACAAATACCCCAGTTATGTTGATTCCAGTTCTCCAAACATCCAACCTTCATGTGACCCCATCATCTCTAATGAGATGTATAAACCCGTTTTCTCGCAAGGTGTCGACCGTACCTGGTCCAGACAACTTGACTCCTATCCTTCTTAAACACAGTGCTCTGTCACTGTCTCAAATTTTTGGCACATTTTAACACCAAACTATTACGGATTGCTGGCGCCCAGTGAGAATTACTCCCATTCCCAAAGGAACGTCAAAAGCCGAAATAGCGAACCGTTTCAGACAAATTGCTCTCACTTCCACTGGTTTGAAATTGATGAAGCGATCAGTTCTTCACCGTCTTCAGTTATCCCGTACCACCCCCAATTATACTTGTCAGTTTGCATAACCGCTCTACATTGGATACCGTTTCTTCTCCAGTTCATTTCATCTGCAATTCCTTAACGAGAAAGCCAAATATGTGCATTGTGCATTTCTTAACTATTCTTCCGCTTTCAAATCGATGCACCCTTCTCTTTTACTTAACAAGCTACAAACATTTGGCTGCCTTAGTTCTCTTCTTGAATGGCTTGCTAATTACATTTTTCAAAGATATCAGTATGTTAAATTGGGAAGAAGACAGTCAACCGCATCAATCAATGGTACGGGTTTACTTCAGGGTGATGTCTTATGACCCCATCTTTTGTCGACTTATATCAATGACTTACCTGTTACTCCCCCTGTTCGACATTTTCAGTATGCTGATGATATCGCCATTTCAGTTTCCGTATCTAACCAATCAGAACTGGTTGAATATAGCACTCACTTATTCCACATCGTTTCATACTTCACTTCGTCCGGTTTTAATCTTAATCCTGAACACTGCCTTGAATGTATTTTTACTCTAAACCGTTCCCCATCTCCCTCCAACAATGTCCAGAATTATGAAATCCGATAAGCAGGGTCAGCCATGTGAAGTACTTAGGTTTCACACTTGAAAGTAACCTTCACTGTTCCCTACATACCCAAAATGTTTCTCGTAATTTGAAAGTTCTCTCTTTTCAGATCAGAAGCCTGCTCCATTTCTGCTCTGAGTTGTTGCTGATAAACGCTTTCGACAAGCATCCATGTATTGAATTATAGCAGTTAACGCGACTGGTATTTAGTGTGTGCACAAAGTGATTGCCAATTCAGTGATTGCTATGTCAGTATGGTGATTACAATTGAGCGGGGTAAAGAAGTATTTCACACCATTGGTCATCGGTTTTCTCGCATTTGAAGGAAAACACTAGCTCCTATTTTCTTTGAAAGAGCTAATAGTAGTTAACGCGAGCCGGAGCAAATTCTCATAGATATACTTAAATTGTATTGATTGTCTCAAGTTAACCACATACATACCTTTGTGTGATGAACAACAGACGTTGTGGACCCCCATTTGCGTGGACCATAGGGCCCGAAGCAGACCACTGCACCACCACCCGATTAATGAATCTGTTTTATGGTCTCCAATACCTCCGACCTTCGTCCTCCCCCACATTGATATTCTGATATTTAAGAAAATGAATGGTCCACCTTTACACGCACAAGATTTCGAAATTTTGAGTGAATAATGCACAAAAGGGATTTAGGTAAATCGTCGTCTGACAAAAACGTATCTGGATATCTTCGTCTACGGCGCAGTCAAATACATTTGCCAATACTTTGCAGAAAAATAGAACCTTCTGTACCGCATCACACTGGGTTTGGAATGAGCTGATTGGAAGCCCGTTTCTTTTTTCTTCAAATAGAGCGCTTTTCAATTTCAATAAGTATTCCGACAGGGTTGTAAGCAGCAAATAGTGAACTTTTGCACTGAGAACAGTAGTCTCATTATTCTGATTGGTTTCTTTTCGAGTGGGCGGGGGAATCGGGGACAGTCAGAATTTTGTGAAGATCTTACACGAGACCGTATCACTATCACATAAGCGTGGGAGTTGCTTATTCATAGGAGAAAAGGACGTGTACGGCAGTGATGTAGTTTTCACTGCGCACTGTCAACTATCGTGGTGCCCAATCATTTGTTAGGGTACCGTAAATAGGGTGTTGAAGCTGTTGATCTATCGACATTTCGGTGGCTTCATGTTTCATGTTTCTTTGTGTGCTGTCAAATTAGCGGGGTTGCGTGAAATTATTTATGAGAGCGCCATAAACGATCACCTACATCCACGCCTTCATAAAATCAATAAATAAAACGCTTGTTTATCACTGCGTATGAGCGAGTCACGTGTGATCCACAGTCAGCATCGTACTGTTGTTGAACAAGAAATTGAATGTCGTGTTTTAATATGTTTTAATATGTCATGAATAGTTTCATCTTTACAAAGACGAATGAACAGGAGGAATAAATACGCTGTTAGAAGACTACGACAGAGGGTTTTTCAGGGAGCTAAAACGATCAGGTTGTACGAAGAATGTTGGAACAATTCGTCTAACAGTGTAAACCAGATCTGGATCATTATTAGAATTGCCTCGGGCCGACCATCTTCAGTAGGAGAGGGGCATACTTCACATCAATGTGTCACTGATTTTCATACAAATACATGTATAAGCATTTTCCCTGATAAAAGCCCAACCCCACTTACTAAAGCCATGCGATAGCCTACTTCTAGTCTACTTCATACCCTCGTGCAGGTTTTATCTTGACCATCCTTGGCCTTTTTCCACTTGGTGTCTGCTTCGGCGAACATCGCTCGCCGTGGTAACCTATCTGGTGACATGCATAACACATATCCCAACCAACCAGGAGACTGGGTCACATAGGTCCTGTTAGGCTCCCTGGTTGGGGACCCCGAGATGATCGTAACCGATGGTTAGAGAAACTGAATAATATGGCTGGGTGTCGCAACTAGTGACGTTCGTGCATCTTCTCAATTTTTTTGCAACCTTACACCACTGAACTTCTCCATTTTCTGTTCGACTCCACTTTCAACTTTCCTTTCTTCTCCTATTCTTCATCCAAATGGGAAGCCAAAAGACAGCAACCAAAACCGGCGCACGAATATGTGTGGTTGATGGTTGTACAAACTGAACTGAACTGAACCAACCAACTTCATTATTTCGACATGCTATAAGAGGCAATGTGTAACATTGGGCCGGTCATTTATTGTNTGTCCCCTTGTAACAGAATAGTTCACGTACCGACTTAAAATTCAATTCAGTTCAGTTTTTCAACCATTATCCATGCCCTTTCGTGCGCCAGTTTAGTTTTCTGTCTTTTGGCAGCTCATTTGGATAAAAGATCAGAATGAAGGTTAGAGTGTTGAGAGGAAATTCGAGAGGAAGATAGAAAATTCATATAGACTGAAGTTAATAGCATAATGAGTAGATGCATGAGCGCCACTGGTTGCGACACGCAGCTATATCGTTTACTGTCTCTAAACATCGGTGACTGTGATCTCAGGGTGCACAGCCAGGGAGCCTAACGGCAGCTATGTGACTCAGTGTCCTGATAAGGGTTTTCATACGCTCATGCCAGGTCCTGGTTTGATCACCCTAGACCTTTTATCGACCGCTACCTGAATAGGCAAACATCGCTCGCCGTGGCAACCTATTTGGTGACACGCGTGACATGCCCAACAAGCGTAATCTATGGAGGTCGACTACTTGGTCCAGTGGACGACCGCAATAACCTAAAACTCTACGCCTAACCTCAGCATTGCCCATCCAGCTACCCACTATGACTCGTACAATGCGCCTTAGACAATCGTTTTATTATGTTCCCGTAGTGGCCAAGTCTCTGTACTGTAGAGCAGGACTGGCCGAACTGCTACAGCATATACTCGACCCTTCACAGACAGCCGGATGTCGCGACGGCACCACAAATGTCCTAAGTTGGTAAACGCCAATCGAGCCTTCTGTATGCGCGCCAACACTTTATCTGTGATGCGTCCGCCAGGTGAAATATAGCTTCCCAGATAGCAAAACTTTTCTGCTCTCTTTACTACTACTTCCCCAGTCAAAATGAGGTTGGGGGCTGAACCAACCCAAAATTGTAGTAACATTTTACACTTTACCGGTGCAAAACGCATACCGAACATACATACACTAGCACTCAAACTAACCAGTGAAGCGTACAACTTACCTGGGTCTTCACCTAGTAGCACATGAATGTAAATTCTACAGCTGACTATTCCTCCTAATCGGGTTGGCTTAAAATTATCTATGTCTATATGAATAACCAAACGTGCATTTGTTTTATTTGATAAAATATTCGATCCAAGTGCTCTCTCTACTCACCGGAAAGCATTATCTGCTTCAGCAGCCTTGGTTTGAATAATACGATCATTGTGAACAGTGAAATAAACTTCTAACATGAATCAAGTTTCAAGTGTCTGTCAACGCGTGTGGGATATCTACTGGATTTGTTGTGCGCTCCAGAATAATGCTTGTTTTCATTCTTATTCGATAAATTTATCGGGAATTATTAGTTTTGTTCATATCCAGTTCATTTGCATATCACTTCTCCTCTGGAGTGTGTGCGCGTGCGCCAAACATTCATGGGATTTTTCCATTTCTGTTTGATTTGTTTAGTAAAATGGAATTAATCATTAATATTGTTACATTTGTATTCATGTACTCTCTTACCCTACATGATTGCAAAGCCTCGTTTAAGATTTCACCAGCGTGCTGAATCGAGAATGGTTACATTTATGGAACATGGTTGCGATTTCAATACACAATATACTCTTCCACCCACGTATCAATTCTTAGTCTCTATCATCGCTCTTTCACACTGCTGACAGTTAGACTGAGTCCTGTGCCCGCGCCGCACCATTCACCATTTACATAGGGTCATGTGAACAGCAAATCCAAGCAATTTCACGTGACCACCCATTGCTGTATGCTGACACACAAACGTGAATTAGTCGTGGATTGTAGAACATATATCAGTTCCCTTTCTCATTTACCACAGGTCTTCGTCTTCTGTGTCGCACAAATCGGTTTACTAACTGGTCAGTCCCATCATCTGACGAAATTATGAGTCGCGTGAGTTGAAATTTACCTGCTTCCCGTTTTCCAATTTGATTTTAGATGTTTTCTCCTTGAGATCATGTGGATTTACAGAGCCCGGTTCGCGGAACTAAGTTTCTTTAAACGGTTTTCATGGGAGTATGCTACTTGTCCATCTTTTTTCTATTTACGTATGAGCACAAACAGACATCAAGCGATATTTGTTTGCAGAGAAACGCGTTGTCCTTTGTCTACCCTATTTTTCTGTTGTCGTATCATTATGAGCTTAGAAATCGTGTAACAGAAACATGATCATTTCTCTATCCCCAATAAACAACAGAATGCGTTGAAATAGAAACAACTAATAACACAATATGTGTATCCTTCCTAGTCGTCTGGAATGAGTCATATTCATCGGACTTTATAAATCTATTCATCGCCTTGTTGCTCGTTAACGAGGGGCCGTGGAAGTTGCATACACATGAATAAAGTCATGAAAAGTTTCCAGAATAACTGCGATTCAATGTTTCTTTGAAAAGTGGTTTTTGTATATATTATTTGGCAAAGCAAAAATTGCTTTTTACCACATCATGACCAAATGATGTTAGCAGTGTATCGAAAAATCGATGTGCCATGTGTTGTTTTATTGTGAATTTTAATGTGATAGTGTTAATAACACAGCGATGTCGGTAGAGAATTATATTCGCCGACGTTTCGGTTACCGTGGGTAACCTTTCTCAAGACATTAACATACAAAAATTGCTTATTTCTAAAAAAAAACATGTCATTGAACATTGTCATCAGGGCTCAACGTTTCGAGCTTCGTTCCATCCAAGTGCATGTTGCAGAGATTATCATATCCAAAATAAGATCTTTCTCTAATAAATCCACTCCTCACTCGATGTCACAATGGGCCAATTGTATAGAAAACAGTGCTGAATGAGATAAGTAGTGATAACAAAAATCCAAAAGCATTGTCCATTTTTACCGTTCCTGATTTTACGTGCTTCTATTGCTAGTTGCGCATAAATTCTGCCGAGGCGCATTCCCGCTCTGGAACTCCCCTACAATGAAATTGACTACAGTTGCCAAAGAATAGTTAAATACTCTAAAAAGGAACTTTTAATTTGATCGATCTTACGGTTTTTTAATTTGATCGATCTTACGTTTTTTTAATTTAAGACGTTTCAAGTGTGATTGCTTGTGCTCGCCCAGTTATTACCCAGTTATTACCTGAGGAAGACAAAAGTATTCCGAAGCACTCACCGGATTCCAATCGTCCTCCTCTACCTTCTTTGTTTCGTTTAGACCTTAGGTAGAAACAAACAATCTTTTAATCACTTCAGCTCAAATGATTGATAGAACCGACCGTAATTGAAGAGATAACCCGTGTGTGAACTACGGTGATCCTGCAATAATGTTATTACTGTCACCTATGAAAGGAAGTGCTATCCTCAACCTTTCATTCAAAACAACAAATAACCTCCATGGTTTTATTTTTTAAAGTCTTTCTGTTGTTCGAACCCGCTTACCTCTTCTCACCTGCTCAATGTCTACTTGGTTTCTGGCTACCTTGGATTGACCTAAACTGTAATGTTCAAAATCAACAAAACATTCATTGTTTATCACTTCGGCATTTGAATAATAGTTCTAACACTTATTCCTAGAGATGCCCGCTGTTCAGTTTCCGCTTCTGTGTCACTCCTGTCTTTCCGACCCAAAGATCAGCACAAAGTGATAAAAAATGGGTAGTGATTTTGACACTGGTCTTGTGATAATATTTTCTCTTCTTGATGAGTACATATATCGAATGGGTCTTCGCCCAGGTACTTGGTCAAAGACGGATCATGTGCTCACAGTAACTCATTCAAAGAAGCTGAGTCTGATCGAAAGAGAAATAGATCACACGTAGCAGCACTTCTTTTGAATCCGGCTATTCACACCGTGTGTACACTCGGTGAAGTTCTCCCTAATGCTAACTGCTTGTAACATCACATTTTATGATGCTCCTAACCAACCAGATGCTTCTCATTTGGTGATGACTGGCCAAAGATAACACGTCTGTGTTCATCCGACAATCGGCAGTGACTTTGAAATAACGGTGAAACTTTATAAACAGTTATCAGAGATCAGCAAAAGAGATCTATGGACCAATAGTGCCATCTATTATCACCAGTTGTGGGGGCCCTCTGATCCACCGATTGGCTGTTTGCCTGACGTTGCCAAACGAGTCCGCCGTCGAATGCGGAACGAAACAGACTGTAATGGCCAACCTGATGGCGTTCCACGGACGAGCTGCTTTCGGAAAGAAAGAAGCGAAGCGTTCACGGTGCATAACTTCTACAACGGTTCGCAAGTCTGGATACAGACCGATAGCGATAGAAGATATCTCACTGAACTCTCTCACGTTCATCCACACTATCTCGTCCTTTCGCACCTAGAACGAGGAGCCCAAAGGACAACATCATCGTCGATTACACATGCTCTCACACTTGGTCAAGCATCGAGAGGCTCATGAGACAGGAAAGGATTTTGACAAGGAAAACGAGCGGAACTCGCTGATGGAAAGACTGAAGGCAAGACACAGAAATTCGAAGGAAGTGAGTAATTCTGATATCTAATTTAACGTCAAAGTTTGACCTATAGGATATTCGATAGCAGCTCCTAGTTACCAAATGCAAGGGTCACTAGATTTAAAACACTACATCGTTTTCCAAGTGGATACCTTTGATTTCGTCAGAAGAGTTTCTGAAGGCGAGTATCAACATATCACAATCCAGCTTGATATAAGAGTAGTTCTCCTGTCCCTGAATGTAGCTCAGTTTACTTTTCACATCACGGGGTGAGCCAGTGCAGAACGTGATCGATCAGTTGTCTCTCCACTGACCAAATCTTTCCTACCAGTTTGTGGTTGTGCGCATTTGTATGTGTATGTGTGTGTGTCGCATTGCTTGACAACACCGGATAATCAAAATTGAGTTGGCAATGTGAACACATCCAACTCATTTACGCTTTTCGGTCCGATCCACAGTCAGGCTTTATCGCTAACCCAATGTGGCTATGGTTTTTGCCGAGAGATTTAACATCGTGCCACGTGGTTGCTTGAACCATGAAATAAATTTCGCTCAGCCCGTTTCATGTTACTCATATGCTTGGGTGATTTAATTATTAATAATTGTCAGAGATAAGTTCACAGAAACTCCTGAGGACAAGATGAAGCACCGACGCTCGTGAGTTGTGTTCCGAATATGCGGAATATAATTTGGGACAGTTGGGTTTCACCTGCACCACGAATTGCTTAGTAGGAAACAAAACAATACATTTTTCTCCGTGTGAAAACAATGCTTATTTTTAACTTTCTTTCTTTTATGAAGCCCTATTTTAGAGAGACAGAGAACCAAACGTGTGTATACTGCTTCAATGTTAGTTTCGTTGATCGGTAACCCGTCTAGTTTGTTCGGTTCAATTCAAAAGCTCGAATGTTGGTGATTGGTGACTGTCTTTTTTCAGCAGGATTTTGAATTGTATTTGTGTAAGTTCTCTGATCGGCGGAATTCATATTTTCATTCCTGATCGAGTAGATTGCTTGCTTGATAACTCAGATCCGGAGGAGGGATCAGTAAGTACGCCAAAGATTAACAGTGCCATTCATTCAGCTCATCGTTCACACCCTCCATCTTTTATAAAAGTGCTTCTATTATTGCACTTGTCTTCATTATACCTAAAGCTCCGCGAATGAGCGAAGTTTATTTTATTTGGACCACGTCATTTACGTTTTCCGTCTGCGCTTTTGTGCTATTGTATTGTATATCGTCTTGACGGACACAATTATGTTCAAGGTTTGCATACGCATACATGCCTACCTACTTTGTTTCCGCGTATGCCTTTCAAGGTTTTCACATTGATGTCGGTCAGGATCATCCAGCTTCCTATCCAATTGTACTGATTGGTGAATTTTTCACTAGTCTAATTCGTGCACATTTTTCAAGGGATTTCACAACGTGCGAGAGATAATTGAGGAGAATAGTATCAATACGGCTCACGGTTTTCTTATCATTCACCTCTGCTTGTTTACTTGCCAAGACCTATTTTTGTCGGCGGTGCCACAAACGGGTGTATTGTTTCTTAAGTGCAAACAAATGAGACACGTAACCTGATTAACCGTTTACCTTTGGGTGCATTGAGGTAGTCGATTTATTTTTTTTTGAAAAATTCACGTGAAATATTATTGCGATGTGAAGAAGCCATGCAACGGAATTTCATGGGGACTGCACATGTTTAGGAGTACTCAAAATAGTCAGATATTTGTCTTGTGTCTTGTTAGCTATCAGAACTTGTTTGATTTGGAGTTTAAGTTGTACCCTCCTTCGGGTTTCTGAGTTTGACTTTTGCATGCACACTCGGTTATGTTAGCGAATCAAGCAGATGTATAGAATCAATTTTTCATCGAGCAATTTCTGATGCATTATTGTTAATCACAATTTTCCCTCGTCAGCAAGCGGAAGGAAATCCGGCACATGTGAAACTTTTGTCCCAAAAATTCGACTTTATTGATAAAAATCACAGCGGATTTCTGACCAAGGATGAGATTTGTGCCTGTCTGGAATTATTTGGATTCAATACTGAGGAATCCAAGGTACGTTGTATGACTTCGCCGATTGTTAATCACGCAACATGCAATCATCCACGTAACTGCATCGACCGTGAACATTTAGGGATTTCCGCTTACTCTGAATATGATTAACAGAACTGTATATGATTTCAAGCAGCTTAGCCATAGCTACCGAATAAATCGAGTGATAATGGCATCATCGAGCACATTCCATTTACTGGTCATCACTCCATAAATGGAACTTGTAAACCGTCAATTATCGATGTACCGGCTATCACGGTAATGGAATGCCTGATACAAACAGCTGTTTTCAGTTATTCACAATCGCCCTCCCACAGACCATATGTCCATAATGTCACTGTCGATCAGATGAAACTGGAATAGAAGTGAACATCTTTTCCAACCAAGTTTGAGCAACCCATTTCGAGTGATGTTCATTAACACATGCGAACAAATCAATAGCCCTGGGATGCATTCACCACATGCTCACTGATAGGATTGGTTAATCCCCGAAGATATCAGGTGTAACTTTGACTCGTATTAAAACAGTGGTTGAAATTGACAACCCATACACAAATGTTTAGTTAAAGGTTAGTTTCAATGGATGGGTTGGCTATTCAGATCATGCATGTTCTTCATTCGGATTTTTCCAAATTCACTCATTACTGGAAATGCAATCAAGTTGTTACTTAGCTGGTTTTGCTTGTCAACGTAACGTAGTGGTGGTATGTCCGATAACAATGTAAGGAAACAAAAAATGAGTAATCTGTAAACAATAACTCGACCACAATAGCTCCAGTGAAGCTGCATTTTCCTTGCATTGTCGACCGCCCCAAGTGCCTGCACACAGGTTTGTAAACCACAGAAGGACGAAAATAACAAATATCGAAACGGAATAGATAAACCTGCCTCCGACGCACAGTACCATTATTCAAAATCCGGTCTTCATCACATTCCACTTCCAAATGGTATAAGTAAACGTGCGGTTGTTGTTTTTAAACCATTATCACAGTGATATGAAACGTAAGCAATCCTCAGTGTTCTCACAAAATACTCGATCATGCATTAGGATTGAGAGTGGTCGGATCAGGTAATAATATGATGCCGTCCTGGTGATTAAGACCATTACTTAGATCGGATGACTGGTCCAGAATAAAACGTTTCCTATCCATTATTTAGAAAATGCGATGAGACAACCATTCCAGCTTTGTTAAGGCATTCAATTGGTCGCTGGCCTTGCTTAAAAATTAATTATATCATGGATTACTCTATACTATAAAGGAGAAGGATGAAAGAATCAGATACGGGCATAATAACAAAACGGTTTTTCGATTAAAAGTTATTCCGTGATTGACGGGGATCCTGCTTTCTATTTTGTTTCCCATTCAGTCTTTCATCAAACGGTTTGATCAGAACAAGGATGGAAAAATATCGAAGCAAGAATTTATGGACGCCGTACACAAGATAAAAAAGAGCCAAGTTACGTAAGTTTCTCAGCTGGCGGAGGAAGGACACATGGCAAAATGCAAACAAGTTGTTTGCATTTTTCCACCCAGAGCGCAAAAATCATCATTTAAATGCATCTTGGTAGAGGGATAACAAGAGATGAGTAAAAATGCATACATTATTCAATCAAACCAAGAAGGATAGCGGGTGTGATAAGGAGGTAAGAAAGGGATAGAACAGTCATTTGAGACTATGGCGAGCACACATCATAGTTCAGTTTCTCACATCCGCACGCATGAACTCTGTAACGAACCGTTTGATGCATACAAGAACTTCCCGAGGAAATCTGGCCAAATACTTTAGCAGATCACAACTATTTTTCACTGAGAATCTTACTCAGGCGACCATGGGGTTTTTCAAACCGTGCCGACAAGAGATAAATGAATTAGTTGGAGCACCTCATTCCATGCCATTTCAGTCTCGGTTATTTATTGAAAATCAACTCTCAGCTTACACCGTCGACGATTCAACAGCCCATCCTACATTTGGCTTGTCAGATAATGTGATTGTGCCTGAGTGAATGAATCATTCTACCTCAATGGCCTATTTATATCTATTCTGTACGCTCTGAAACAAATAGCTCTCAGTGATCAAAGCAAATTAAACATAAGTCATTCCCGTCCGTGAGTGGCCGGGTAAAACACATACAGTCACGGACAGTTGTTGAAAATGTTCAACTCATGGGCATCGTTTGATTCTGTATCTACTTTCGCCCTCAATCGAATGCCAACTCCTTGTGTCATCACATTTGTTTACTCTTTTCATTGTTGCTGGCTTCAGCGAGGCACAACTTCGCGTAATATTCCGTAAGGCCGACACAAACAATTCGGGCAAAATCTGCACCAAGGAATTGCAAGACTATTTAGCCGAAAATCGTAATATTGTATCCAAATCGCAGGTTCAAGCTTGGATCAAACAGCATGATGAAGACGGTGACGGAGAATTGGACTACGAGGAATTTCTCTCATTTTTGCGTGAACACTTGTAGACTCAGTCACAGTAATGAGCAAAAGATGTTAATGTTAGGCATCATGTGATGACTGAATATAACGGTAACACTTTGGACCAATCAGTTTTCATGGCTGCGTTTATGTATCAAATTTTAAGCAATAAAACTATTTTGAATGAACATACAAAGCTTGCAGAGTATCGTATTTATATTGGACGGGTAATAAGAGGATTTATTCATTTACTATCACACAGCATTCTAGTGCTAGCCGTCGTTTTGGCATCTCAATGACAGAAATAAATGCATATCGTGGAAGCAGATTAGTCTCAATGCGTGGATGTTACTAGCCCCATTTGGCTACCAGTTTTGATACGGGACAAGTAAAACGCCATCCTTGCTACTGACAACAGTTTAACATCAAGAACTCACACCTGTAACGTGATCGGATGAGATGGAATCTAGTAGTTATGGCTAGAAAGATGTCTACTGAATGATTGATCGATTTCATTCAAGTCAAGTCAAGAATGCACTTTATCATATGTGGACAGAATTTTCAGTGAAAAGAATGTGTCATCTGTGTCATCCGATGAATCTCATCGTTTAAGGAGTAAATGAGTTGTGAACTGAAAAGTCAGGAGGCATTGTACGTCAGTTTCTACCTAGTTGGGTCGAACCGGCAGTGCTAATCCATCGACCCAACTGGGGATAGAACCCGGGACCTCACAGACAGAATGTACGCATACTATCCACTCAGCCGCCAAGCAGCTATGTCAGTAGGTTGAATGCATGCACATGATTTAACACGTCAGGACCATCTTAGAGAGAGTGTGTTAAATATTCTCATCGCTCTAATGAATGGAGGATCAACGGTGCAAACAACATTTTTGGTATCGCTTATGAGACAACTACAACGAAAAAGCATTTAGATAAAAATAGACATTTAGAATTAGCTTGAAATGAGTTAAGGTGTGTTTGTGCGCGAGTATCTTAACAATGAACTGGGAGGGGGACCTGAACAAATTTTAACGAAATCGAAAAATGGCGTTGTGTTAACTGAAACCTCAGTTCACTATCACTTACGCTCAAGATACCATGCTGTGCAGCAGAAAGCACATCGATATAACACATCGAATAGAGTGCGGTATTTCCAACACACGTGACCATCTGGCGGTAATCTTTTATCCGATGAAAGTAACGAATACTCATTTGGATGTTTTCTGTCATCAGTACTCTAGTTGATGAATCACAATGAATGTTATCTACACCTTTGGTGTTCAGTTTAACCCACATTCGCTCATTTAGGGGATGACGCTGACAACCAATTTTCGTACATTAAACAAATCTTGAACTTTCAGCTTTCGGTTGTGCGGGTAAGCGTGCACTGGCAAATTAGGAAGAGTTAACGGTTTGGACACAAGTGCATCGTTTTCACTTTACTAATGACACTCGCCTGCTTATTCCGAGGTTGATTATTCGCTGAGAAACAAGTCAAATGCTTTATCTCTTGAGGTATCATTAGATTGAGTGTGTCAATATCGCCTTTTTAGTCCAGATGAAATTCCTGTTTCGTGAACTGACCACGGAATCGATACAACTCATTAAGCTTTAGAGTTACACATCTACGACTCTCTCCTATACCGACAGATGCACACGGAATTATCAACACAGGCTGTCCCATCATATGTGAGAGATACTACGATGTTATGTAAACAATTACTTTCCACAATTAAAACACGTCTTTGTTGGTTTCTAGAGAGAGAAAAAATTTAGTTTCACATCATTCATGTAATCAAGCAACACTAACACCTGTTTTCAGCGAGAAACAACCCTGGATCTGGAGCAAAACGTTAAACAGGTATATGCATGGGTTACTCGATCAAATTTGGATTCTCCGTGAAGATTTAGGTTGAGGGACGGTCATTTAAAATCGATATTTTCTAAAACTATTTCATCATGCTCCTAATGTGCGAAACACCTTGTTGTGGCTTGCAGTCGAGTGATGTGCCCGTCACGTGATTGACCGTTGCGGCCCGCCACTACACACCCGAACGCACCTCATGCGGACTTACTCTATTACAAGGTCGATCCGCCTCAGCGAATTAGAGGTCAGTATTGAGCTGACCACAGTGATTGGTCCGTTGAATGCCCAACGTGATGACATTCTCCTTTTGGTAACAGTTGCGCCAGTTCTGTGCCTGTCTGTCTGCGTGTTGACGCACTGCTTGCTCACCGGCTTACGGACCGGCTACGTTTGCGTTTACATACTGGAAATGTAATTAATACTTAATTCACTACTTGCGTACTTATTGAATTAAACGGGATACAACACACCTACTTCCAGTGTTCGCTTGGCTGGATGTATATTATCAGCTTTCGAGCATTCATTCCGCATTTACAAGCGTTACTATGAGCGTTTATATGATAACGGTTCGATTTTCAGCCGTTTGTGCCATTATGTTAGGAGAAGCATATTCGGTGATCAGTCATTTATCAATTCATGTGTGTTACTCATCAGATGTGCGCAGGAGAGGGAAAGAAAGTGAATTTACCATAGAGAAGGGAAAAAGTTCCCCCTTCTGTAAGGCATAAAACCAATGCCATCGTCATTGTGGTATCCTAATACGATGGCTAAGATTCCAGATGAACGAAACTTTTTATTTATTACATAAAAATAAGTACCACATTTTTAAGGTTTTCTCCACCAGTGTTCGTGCACAGTTTCACGTGCTCAAACCATTTGGTGAAACTGCTCGACCATGATAAAATGGATAACCCTTCCACCAGCAAGGTTCCGTCGTACTCGAGTCCTCGGACGATGACTGAAAACAGCTTCCAGCACTCTCTGTAGACAGTGGATGACATACCAGTCTCCAGTGACTGCGTTTCGCTATACGAGCGATACAGTAGCCCCAGGATTGGTTTTGGCTATGAACATAGCCGTAATCTGTTTGCCACACTGCGCTCTGAAGCGGTGAACCATCAACCAGCTTCCACTGAGCCGACTGTTGCTTAGTCACTGGATAGAAATCGTACACCCAGGTCTCATCGTAACTGATGATCGCTCAAATTGCACTGGAGCATCCATTATCAAACTTGGCAAGCATGGTGCGACACTAATTTACCAGAACTGCTTTCTGTTCCTCACTGAGCTGACGGGGTACGCAGCATGCGGAAATCTTTCTAAGGCCGAGCTTATAATATAGTGTGGTGCAAATTTATCCCGATGAGATCCCGATAGGTTTAAGTCAGCTGTGCCACTCTCATCTGAGCCTCGTCTTCACCAACGCTTGCACAACAGCAATTTTTTCCGCTTTAGTGGACGGCCTTCTACTCTTAAATTATGCAAACCACTCAAACACAGCGATTCTTGGAGGCAAGTCATCACCAAAAGCAGCTCGCAAACGATCCATACTATGCTACTACTTTAAACCACATTTATGGTCGTAGAAAATCCTTACTCTTCTGTGAAATCAACCGTGTTCCATTTTTACAGTCCGAGTACAGCGACCCTTAGGAATTTTGAGCTATAGTTGGTTGTTTATATTTGGCTGTGTGAGCTGCAATCATCGAATAATATTCTCAATAGATTACGGTGCACTATAGTATTTGGAACAGGAATCGAAATCGAATAGCACGAACTCGGTATCGGACTGAAAACCCACTCAATAGTGTAGTCAGGTAGAACCAAGACGAGCTGTGGACATAGTTAGTTCTATTCAGAAAATCATGGAAATATATTTCACAAGCAACAGTCATTGGTCGATTCTTGAATTTCCAATCGACAACGATATGGTTTATCTGTTTGTGCCTTCGTGCACTCAGCCAATCCGGATGATGACAGTTAAGATCACAGGATAGGTCGGTTATCCCTGTTCTCGATTGGTTACCTGTAAGCTGTACCGCGGTGCGTGCGTACTCGTTACATGATCACCACATGCACACTTCCTTGACCGGTCATCTACGCGTCACACGTTTAGTGCGTATCCGGAGAGCTTTTGCCCAGCCTTCGTAAGCTGCAAAACCAAAACTGCACAATACCCTTTCAGAATGTTATTACCGTGAATGGAGTAGTACATAGGTTCACTATCCTCAGTAAATCACAAAACTTGCTAGGAATCGGTTCGGTCTTGTGGTGCTCGTTACTCAAATCCATTCCAAACCGCTCCCTCTTGGACAAATCTTTTTATTCCAATTCGCCTGTTCGCCGAGCTTGGCAATTTGTTTGCAAACGTTTCATCACCAGCC